CCCCCTCGATCGCCGGGCCCCGCCTCCTCGATCACTGCCGATGACGGGCCCTGCCACCTCCTGCAAAGCTGCTGGTTGTCACCAACTCAGCAGCGGCTGTGAGAAGGAACGGAGCGTTCCTCCTCACAGCCGCCAGTGACAGCCAGCAGCCTGGCTGTCCGAGCATGATGCCATAGCGACCCAGGCGGCCCGCATGGCATCAGGGAGATGTCCTGGCCAGGCCCCGCCGTGCCTCGGGCCCCATAGCGGCCACCTGGGTCGCTATGGTGATTGTTCCGCCACTGCTAAGTTGGATAACATGCGGAAGGTTTAGGCTCTCTATCAGGCTTTTACCTGGAGGCAGAGCCAGCTGTCAATCAGGCAGTGGGTGGATCCCAACAATATTGTCGGGATCCTTCCCGGCTGCAGCAAGGCTCTGCGCTGTCAGCATATAGCTGGCAATAGCCTGCTATATGCCGAGTTTTGAGTCACAGGAGAACATAAGTATATATCCTCCTGTGACCCTAAAGAGAACTATTGCAAAACAAGGTTGGGCTATACTTCTCTTTTAAAGGAACTGTAATAGGTCCTAAGTAATGTGGTCAATTATGTTGCCACCTGGTTATAAACAGTTACCCTGCCAAGCTTGTGATGCCACCTAGCTACATTTTGTAAGGTCTCCGACTTAACCAAAGGTCTCTTGATTGAAAATCTTAAATTAGGGAAAAACAATTGATAGATATGCCATCAATGGCCATGGAGAGGTAATTAGTAAGAGTCGTGATAGTGCCTACGAGTACTGTCCATGTCCATAAAGGACATGGAAAGTCATAGGCAGCAGCAGAGTACCAGCTGTGACTGTAATATCTATCAATATTAAGTCATTGTCGGTAGTAGTCCGTCTTCTTCCATGTTCAATTCCAAGGTCGATTCTTGTGACTTTTGACTGTATACAGGCAATACCTCCTTTATTAGAAGTTCCTGTTGTCTAACAGACAAAATATTGTATGTATTTTTGTTGGTGCTCAGGACATTCCTACAGTACATTGGCACTGGCAGACCATGGTGCCCAAAGGTCAGGTTATCACCAGCTGCCATGGTGTCTGGCAAACAATTTACTGCAGGTATTAAATCACCTTGAAATTAATATTTTGTATAATCCTGCCTGCCAGCCTCCTGGGCACAGTTGATCAGTTCCTGGTGGTTGTTGGGATGTGTATTGTCAGGCCTTGGTCTCTTCTCTTGTGGTAGAGAAATGACCAGCTTGTTTTGCAATGGACAGTATAATACCTGTTGGGATGTGTATTGTCAGGCCTTGGTCTCTTGTGGTAGAGAAATGACCAGCTTGTTGTGCAATGAACAGTGTAATGCAGGTCTGTGGAGGCCCTGTGGACAGTCTAATGCCAATGCCTTGTGCTTGGTGGATATTATAATGCCATTTCCTGATGGCCAGCAGATGGCATATCATTAGTCCATGTCCCACCAAACACTATACCGTGTTTCCCCAAAAATAAGACACTGCCTTTTTTTTGGCTCAAAAAAACACAATAGGTCTTATTTTCGGGGTAGGTCTTATTTTTTTTTTTTTTATGTACAACAATCCACATTTATTCATGTACAACAGTCTACATGTATTCATGTAAAAAATATGGTGATCAGGGCAATCGGGGGTACCGTACCTTTACAATCCACATTTATTCATGTACAACAGTCTACATGTATTCATGTAAAAAAATATGGTGATCAGGGCAATCGGGGGTACCGTACCTTTGCAAGAGCAATTTGTTAACCAATCGCTGGCCAGGATGAGCGAAGCGCGCTTTCACTATCGATTCCTCACAGGCGGAGTTCATTTGGTATCACTCCGCCTGTGACAGGAGCCGGCGCTATAGAGGAAGCATTGGCTTATGCGGCTTTGCTCCCTCCGCTGCCATCTCGCTTCCTGTAGCGCTGGCTTCGTTGGCACATTTGATTCTCACCAGCCTTTCTTCAAGTTCCCCCTTACGCCACCATCGGCCCTGGGAATGGTCACAACTAGGTCTTATTTTTGGGGTAGGTCTTATATTTTAGCAATTCCCAAAAATAGTACTTGGTCTTATTTTCGGGGTAGGTCTTATTTTCTGGGAAACAGGGTATTACCGGTCTCTAAAGCCCTGAGGACAGCGCATTGCCAATCCCTGGCATCCAACAAACTGTATATATCGGCAGCCTTGGCACACATTGAGTGGTATAGTACTACCCATTACCCAGTATGCTGTCAGTCCCTTTTTCCTAGTAGCATATACCAGTCCATGGTGCCCTATGGACAGCTTGTAGCCAGTTCAGGCTTACTAGAAGAAATGACACTGACTCTCCCTGAGATCCAGGACCAGCTGGGACATTGTTAGTTCATAGCAGCCAGTAAAAAGCACCTAAGCCTATTACTAAAATTGTCACCTTTCTATGTCTTTCTCTGATTAGCGGAACGCCCTCTTTAAAGACATTTAAACTTTAGAACTGAACATGTTGATGTGCTGATGCTGAGAAGATGACGGCTTAAAATATCTCAATGGAAACTTGGCTACTGAGGGGAAGTCACATTGTCACCTTTACTCCACTGCCACAAACTGCCAAGTAGGACAAAGGTGGTGTAAACACATACTAGAAAGACATAAAGGAGCAAATACATCAATACAGTAGGGATCTGCTTTTGTGTTTGTTGAGGAGCATTACATTAACACAGCTCCTGTCTACGACTGTGATATGGGCTTTATTATAACAACCCCAATAGAAATGAGGACTAGAATCCATGAGCGAGAAACTACACGTGATACCCCCTTGGAATTAACCTAAAGAATCGACATTAAAAAGTAACAATAAAATAAATACACAAGACGCCAACATTTGGCATAGAACTGCGCGCAGCATTTTTTATTGGTTATTGATCAAGCTCAAAGCATAAAAATGTCTTCCAAATCAGCATTCTATAAATCATGAAAGCCTGGCTAAAAAAAGGCCAAACATACTGCATGGCTAATAGACCCCTAATGTCTCTCTAAAGAGAACCTGTCACCTATAATGTGCTGTTAGCCTGATAGCTGATATCAGCCCCGTATATGTTAACGATAGAGTTAAAGCCAAACTACAACCTCCTATCCCTTACAGCCAAGGGAGGCGCCATCTTGGCCTCTGTTTGGATTGTCGCTCTGGGGGTATTGCTGTCAGGGAATGGTCGGTGGTGGGGGGAAGGCGAGCGTGGCTATTTGTTTAAAGAGGGCAGGGGGCTGTGGGGGATGCCGGACAGAGTCTCTGACTGCATGGTCCGGTGTCCCGCTCAACTCACTGACGTCACTGGTTGCCAGGAGCTATGCAGGACGAAAGACAGAGCGCCCCTGCCGGTGGTCAGTAAGCTTGGCAGCACTGCATAGAGCGTCACAGGTCAGTGAGATGCTTTGGCCGCCCTCCCCACCACCAATCAGCCGCTCCTCAATGAGATGCCACCTGAGGCCACCGCCTCAGGCTGCCTCATTATAAGGCCGGCCCTGACTATGACACCGACCATCTGAGGGCTTGAAGGTTTGGTTGAGAGCTGAAATAAGCACACTGGCAACCTTGTCAGTCGGCATGTCTTAAAAGTAACTGTTTTGGGAGACATTAAATTGGTGGGTAAAGTTCCTCTCTAAGTAAAATAAATAAATTAAAATAACGTAAAAACACACATATAAAAAAAAAATGAAAGCCCTCACCCTCATGTGCATAAGTACCTAAATATGTACGTTGGCTTCGCCGAGGTATGAAAACGACAATTGCATTATTTTCTAATGTCTCCCTAAAGAGAACTTGTCACCTATAATGCACTGTTAGCTGCCAGCATGTTAGGTATCGCTGTTATACGTACATTGCTTGTAAAGCTCCTCTCACCTAATGCAGTGGAAGGCAGGTGGCGACCGACTGAACATGGGGCCGCGACCCACTTTTGGGTCACAACCCACCAGTTGAAAACCATGGCTTTAAAGGTTTGCTGATGAACAGTTTTTGTTACTGAGGTTTGTTGCCTTTCATGGGCGTGTGCAATTGAATTTGGTAACTGTTTACTCAACGCAACCTCGTCTTTTATATTTTACACATTTGGGTTATATATTGTTTGTGTGCACTACAATAAATTAAAATGCATGAAATCTGGGCACAGTAAACATTTTCCCCAATATCATGTGACGTAAAAAATTGCATCTACCACCATTTTATTATTTAGGGTCTGGTTTCAGGAAATTGATGATTCTTCTGGGGGCCGGGGGATGCGCAATTTCACATTCTTGTGAAATTGCACATCTCTTGCATATGGATACTAGGGGGATCTCCTCACACGTCAGTGCATTTGCTGATCTTTTGCACAAGGTGGAATATGCCTTTAATTTTTTTGTGCCTGGAGTTCAGTCTCAAAATAAACCCACGTTTTCCTTTATTCTGTTAAACAAACAGGCATGTTTTGTTCCTCCACAATCCTAATAAGCTGCATAGGACACACATCAGCCCTGTGCACACTGCCTCCTCTATGGGAAAGAATAGGCAGATACCACACTCAATATGGCGGCTTCACGCTGCCGCCGTCGCAAAGGAAGCCTGCGCTGTGATTGGTCGTTCGGCGCTAGCGTCATGACGTCGTCATAGGAACCCGGAAGCGTTCTAACAGAAGGTGTCAGCTGCCAAGGGGGACTCCCCAGTCCTGGGCTGGTATCATGCGCCTGGCTCACTTGCTGCTCCCTCATCGCCTGCAGCGAGTGGCAGCTCTTAGCTTTGCCTTGTGCGGCCAGGGGAGGCTGCTTTCTCCGCCCATGCCCTTACATCAAGCTGGGGTCTCCTTCAGGCAGGTCAGCTCCATGCCAACAGTCACGATGAAGGACATCCTGAGCAAATGTGTGCCCCCCCTACCCCCCTACGAGACCAAAGACAAGACCCCGCCTCCCCCTGAGCCGCAGAGCTTGCACTTTATTCAGCACTACAAGAGCCTGGATTTGGGCCAGAGGGCAGCCCTGCTGGGGGAGCTGGCGGCCAGCTATGGGGTGGATCACTCCCAGGTGGTGGAACTCAGCGGCAAACTGGTCCAGGATCAGCAGACGAGGGACCTGGGCACCGTGCTGCAGGTGGAGGACCGGCTCAGGTACTACCTCACCCCCCAGTACAAAGTGCTCTTCCTCCATGTCAGCAAGCTGGAGGGGGGCATGAAGTTCCTGGTGGACCTGAGAGCCGACATCATAGCGAGCATGACGTCCAAGCTGGCCGACGGTCCTCATATCAGGGTGAGCCCCCCCCAAAATATGTATTGGTTGCTTTGGAAAGTATAAATGGGAGCGTTTTTTAGGTTTTGAAAAGGGTTAAACGTTTCCTTGTCTGTGTTTCCTTGAGCAGATTTTTTCATTTCCTGTCCCTGACACACAACAGGAAGTGAGTGGCAATCCATCCGAAGAAGAATACGTTTCTTAGACAGTTGTCACCAGGACAGGCGTCCCCAGTCGAATATTTTGTGTATATAAATGTAATAAGCGCACTAAGAAACTGGGAGGGAATTGATCAAAACTGCAGCAGCGACAGAATCTGGAGCAGTTGCCATGGCGACCATTCGGCTTGTCTTTTCATCTTGTTCAGTTAAGGTTTAAAGGAGAACTATGGGGTCATGGGTTTTCCCCATAGTTCTCCTGAGGTTCACGGGAGAACACAAACTAGCGTCCTCCTGTCACCCAAAGCTACAGCTCGCGGTATACTCAGACGCCGCTGCCGGGACGGATCCCGACAATGCTGTCTGGATCCGCCCAGCTGCGGGATTGACTGCTGGCTCTACTGATCTAGAGGCAGAGCCGGCTGTGCTCGCCCCCTCCCCCATCCGTTTTCCAGTCAGCGCTGCAGGAACGGACAGGGGAGGGGGGAATCCCTGCAGGAAGCCGGGAGTGACAGTCACGGCTCTCTGCACGGATTGATTGAGAAGTGAGCGTGCGCCGGTATGTGTTCACTCACTTCCCGATCTACTGAGCCGACCTGTGACAGTCTCATTGTCACAGGTCGGCTCAGATTATGAGGCTGAGTGAAAATCACTCGCCTCATAATTCTCCTTTTAAAACTAAGGAACAGGCTTGATGGACGGGCCCCCTAGTACATTAGGGGGAATTCATCAAAACTGTAACAGACAGAATCTGGAGCAGTTGCCATGGCAACCAATCAGCTTCTCTCTTCAGTTTGTTCAGTTAAGATTTGAAAATGTAAGACAGAAGCTGATTGGTTGCCATGCACGGCTGCCCCAGATTGTGTCCTCTCCGGTTCTGAGGAATTACCTTCATTGTATCTTTCTTTCCTCAGGTTGTTATAAAGAAGAACTCTGGGAATAAAAAAAAAAAACTTACCCTTGCAGTGGGGCTCTTCCTCCATGTCAGCAAGCTGGAGGGGGGCAGGAAGTTCCTGGTGGATGAGTGTGAAGCCGCCATATTGAGTGTGGTATCTGCCTATTCTTTCCAATAAGGAGGCAGTGTGCACAGGGCTGATGGGTGTCCAATGCAGCTTATTAGGATTGTGGAGGAGCAAATCATGTCTGTTTGTTTAACAGAATAAAGGAAAACGTGGGTTTATTTTGAGACTGAACTCCAGGCACAAAAAAATGAAAGGCATATTCCACCTTGTGCAAAAGATCTACAAGTGCCATTCTGCATTGCTCCAACACTACTTTATACAACATTAGGCTACAAATAATAATTATTTTAATGAATTATTTTCCCCCTTACCTCTTCTGGCCGGTCTTCTGTCTTCATCTGTTTCCTATGTGTTTTCTGATTGCTGGGTCCTCACTGCCGTCCGAGGCCCCATGATGTGCCTGCAGGGCTGTCTTCAGTGCCTCCTTGTTCCGCGGCTCCCTCCTCACAGCGGCCGGCGGGCCCCATACTATCTCAGCCGGCGGACAGGCCCCCCATTTCAGTGCGTCGTGGGGCGCCCCCCCCCATTTTGGAGTGTCAGATGTTAAGATCAGTATCCGGCGGCCCCCCCCATCTCTGTGGCGGGAGTGTCGGATGACACTCAGGTGTCTCTCATTGAGCAGGTGTATTATAAACTAGT